AGAAAGAGTTTAGAAGGGTATGGGCCAAATGCTGGCAAATGGGACAAGATTAATTTAGGATATCCGGTTGGCACAGAAGTGTCGGACTGAAGGGTCTGTTTCCATGCTATATGACACTTTGATTGAATAATGAGTCAAGGGAAGTTCTCAAGAATGTCAAACCATGGGCTAAATTGGGCATAGTGGTCAGAGCAAAGACATAAACTAAGGACACCTCAGTGAGAAAAAAAACAAACAACACAGTCAATGATAACTCCTGAAAAATGAGAGACAGGGCAATGACTATTTTTCGTCAAAGAGACAGATAATCAGATAACCTTGTTGAAATATTCTACCAGCATTCCTTTCTCCTTTAAACAGCGATCAAATTTCATGAGTTGGTGTCTATCTTACAATTTAATTTTATCTTCAGAAAGAAAGGGAATGATAAAATAAACATTGGCTGACCATACCACAAATCAAATATTATTGTTGTGGCTAACTGGTGTTGACCAGATAGTTTAGGGGTGTCTCTTTAAAGTCATTTTGTCAGACAATTATCTCATATTATTTAAGTCAGTGATTTTCTGTTGCATTTCCTGACCTTTCACCTCTTTGGGCCTATTCCCATCCCTTCCTCATGTTTTATTTGTAAAATATCCCCCAAACACAGATTCAACATACACATTACTGCCTTGGATAGGCATTCTAGCTAAGACTGAGCAATGTGACATGATAATCTTCTGGCATTAGAGTCCCAGTCAGAAACATTCAGTATGAAGCTGGATTTTACTGTGTAGATAAAGGTATAAGTAATGGATCAAGTATTAGATAGTACAGGAATGTGTTCATAAGTAGCTTGAAGGCCAAAGTTTCTTTTTAAAAGACAGGTAGTTTTCATATTATTTGCTGTATTTCCAATTATAGGTTAATAATTGTCACTTGAAGTCTGAAACAAAATTGCCTGTTATTAACAACTTATTTCCAGTAAATCAGTATTATCATTTACAATAAGTGGTGACTCATGTTCAAATCATCCTCATTAAATAATTCGTAGGAGACCAAGATTTATCAGCTAATGCTGATCTTAATGGATGGCCTTTCTCATATTAGCTTTTGAATGGTTCATGCAGATGGGACTAACATGATAAAATGGCAGTAAATTTGGTGCTTCAGTGGTTAGCACTGCTGCCTCACAGCATCAGGGACCCAGATTCGATTCCAGACCTGGGCGACTGTCTGTGTGGAGTTTGCACATTCTCCCCGCGTCTGCATTGGTTTCCTCCCACAGTCCAGGGATGTGCAGGTGGGTTAGCCATGAGAAATGCAGAGTTACAGGGATAGGATAGGGGGTTGGGTCTGGGTGAGATGCTCTTCGGAGGGTTGGTGCGGACTGGATGGGCTGAATGGCCTGTTTCCACACTGTAGGATATATGGACTTGCAGACTTTTGAGACTTTCAAAGGCTTTTATGTATCTGCTAGACAAAAGGTTACAAGACCAAAGTCTTAGTGGTAAGATAAACAGCTAGATTGGAAACTGGCAAATTTAGGGATTCAGAGTTCTTTGAAAATGGTAAAGGATCAGCCACAAACAGTGTACCACACTTCAACAATGAAACACCAGTAACTTAAAACATCTCCAGCACCAACCAGTCCACCATGTCCAAATCAACATCAACTGCATTAATCAGGTCCCATCTCAGTACGGTCAAAGAATCACCCAACACAGCAAGCCTATCATGTCTTTTGGTAAAAAAAACTATTCATTCATTTCCTATCTCTTACCGCGTAGCCCTATAAAATTTTCCTTTTCAAGTACATATTCAATTTCCTTTTGCTGTCTATTCCAAATCCGCCCACATCCCATGAATGAATGAAAATTAAACTGTTTCTAAAAAACCCCCTCAGGCAGTCCATTTCAAATCTCAGCAATGCACTGTGCCGTTCGAGCCTTCTAACCTGCTATTTAATGGGTTCCATCAAATGCAAAGAAAATATCCCTTTTTAAAAAATCTTAAACATAGATGACATCTAATTACAACTGTTACTTCGCTACAGTCTAGAAATTTAAACGTTTGTCTCATGGGGTCAAAGGTCACAGAAGACCCATGTTATGGAACGTTATATAGTCTACCAAATCTTTTACATGACTGGAGTGCAGTGAATCAACAGTTAGCATCAGCCAGAGACGTCATCTAGGGTAGTTTATTCATGCCATGCACTAGGTCATGATGAGACTGAAGTAGAAGACAAATAGAATTTTAAGAATGAGACGAAAACACTGTGGAAGACAAATTCATTGCAAAGACCTCATATGGGAAGCAATACATGGTTACTTGGTTAGAAAGGGACATTTTGCTTTTATTCATTTACATGATGTGAATGTCACAGGTCAGGCCAGCATTTATTGCCCTTCCCTCACTTGTCCAGAGAGCATGTAAGAGTCAATCACATTACTGTGGTCTACAGTCACATGTAGGCCATCATCTTCCACAGTGGCATTCAAACCTAGGTCCTCAGAACATTTCCTGGGTCTCTAGATTAATGGTCCAGTGATAAGGTCATGGCCTACCCTTTGTTGAGGACATCCAATACGGTTTCATGGAAATAGATCATGTCTTACAAATCTAGTTGTTTCTTTAAGAAATATGAACAAGGTAGAAAATGGAAACTCTGTAGATGTTTTAAGATGTTATCCAGTTAGACTTTCAAAAGCTTTATCTATGTGCTAGGCAAGAGGTTTCAAGACCAAAGTCTTCAGTATTAGTGTTAAGAGCTAGATTGAAAACTGGCATGCAAGATGTAGGCAATATGAATTTACAAATGGATTCAGGTCTGTTTGGAGATGTTGGAGGAAATGACTTGAAAATCTACAGGATTTCTGTGGAATCTTCCATGCATGTTGAAGATGCTTGACTGCCTCAGGTGGATCCTGATGTACTGAAAGGTTGGACTTATGACTTGGCAAGTGAAGTTTAATTTGGACAAGTACACTGGGTCAAGGCATATTGGTTTATCCTTGCACAAGGTGTTGATCAGGACACACTTGGATTATGTGCCTAGTTTTAGTCTCCCCACAAAATAGGCTTTGGAAATGGCACTGAAGACAACAATGGGAATAATTTCTGGTGTAAAACATACCAGTTAACGAGATGGGCTATAGAGTTAGGACGCTAAACTTCCTCATAAACTTCACTTAACTTCACCAAACTTGATTGTCTGGGCTAAATAAACAGATTGAGGAGATAACAATTTTAAAGAATGAAAGATCAGATCGTCATTGAGTGGCAAGTGCTTTGGGACAGGCAATCAAATATAATATATAAATATTAATCTTTCTTCCTGTTTATCAAGAGCATTCTCTTTCCCAGGGAAAGGACGGTGAGTCTCTGGGGCAGGATGCTGTCTCACACGGTGCAGGCTGATTTGCTGGATCCCTTCGTGTGAGAGCTGGATCAGTAAAGATCGCATCTGACCAAAGGGAAGCTAATTCTGGTAATTCCTGGTCAGAGAGAGATCTCCTGAGCTGCTTTGGATTGCCTGGATGAGTGGGCAATCAGATCTTGCCAACACCCCTCTCTTCAATCCTCTATTTGGGTGGACGTTTTGCTCAGTTGACTGCCTCACTCGAGAGACCACATGGATTAAAGTGAGGTGAACAGTGCATGTTGCGGTGATATACCAAGCACCATAATTATATCAGACAGGCTGGATAGTATTTGTGTCCAACATCATTCATATGTTCGCAATCGATCAGATGTTGAATTTGGTATCTTTCTGATCTGTTGGCTTTGGTTGGATAAATTGGCTGGACTGCTGGGGCAAGTTAGGAATCCTTGTGCATTATTATAGCGATTTATAGGCCTGTTTTTTTTTTTAAGTGCTTGTTTCAGTGTCCTGCATTTTGTTTCCTTAATAAGTTTGGACAGTTACTGCATCTGCTTTACAGATAGACAATTTTTAAAACTGACTTTCATTATTTCTGTGATCTATGTACTAACATGGTAAAATATGGCCACTTCAATAACTCGCAGATAATTGTGGTTCGCTATGAGCTAATTCCCCATCATCCTCTTTAAATCAGGAATGCTAAGCAGGCTTTCGCTCAGAGACAGTACTGCTACAAGGATGAGCTGGGCAGTGTGAATGTTTCTCCATGCCATGCCAAAAGGCGGCGAGTCCAGTTATCATATCTGGACAAAATACACATGTTTTTCATTTTTGGGTTGGATTCAACACTGGGCAACAGAACAAGAAGCAAGCACGTGTATGCAGCTCTAAGACGCCAAGGCGATTCCAACATAGCATGACAAGATAGTACTTAATTCCTTAGCTTTTACCTATCAGGCCAGAACCTAATGTACCATTGCTGCTGGATATCACAGAACAATGGCATGCTGTGGTTAAAAAGGCAAAGGGCCAAAAATATTAATAGGATAAAAACATGTTTGTACTGACATAAGATCTCAGGTTACATCACTGATGTTCCTCATAAAACACTATTTAAGACATAAGCCAGCAGTGTCATGCATCATTCCACAAATTAAAGACTTATTGAATTCTTCTTTGATGATAATACAAATGACAGTTAGTAGATTCCTCTCTTTAAAATGGAACTGAATGTGTATGAAAAATGTACTATCGATGCAAATTTACAAACCAGCAGCTGCACTGTAAAGGCCAGCTGCTATCCAGTCACTGAAAGGACGAAAGAACTTGTATGCATGAAGTCTTTCATGACCTTGGACATCCCAGTAAGCTTTGCCGCCAATGCTGTACTTCCTTTTAAAATATTTAGTTACTTGTTATGCTGGAAATGCTTCAGTTCACTCAATCATCTCAGCAAAAATAGGGCTGTTCACATATTTGCTATTGTTGGACTTCAGCACTGTCTTCACTGAGTGAAAAATTACATTAATAAGCCACAGAAAAACATAATTCTGAATTCCAGCTCTAGCTTAGTGTCCAATATAAAGCAACTGTTAATATCACACAGATTATATTTAATGTAATAACTTACTCTGTTGAAGATTTCACTTGGTTTGTAGACGGTGAATTTAAGTCACATGTAGGAGTTACTGGTGTGGGTGAAGGTGTCGCAGAATGGCTTTGGGCAGCTGCTTGTGCGGACTGAATAGAAATCACCTTTGAACTCTTTACATCGAACTGTGTAGGAGTGCTTGGACTCACTTTTCCTGGCGTTGGGCTGTGTGCTGTTGCTGGTACTGGGCTGGTTGCTATCTCAGCCATGTTTTGTCCAAATGACCGCCTATTTTTCCGTCCATCGTCCCCATTTGGGGTCAGCTTCCTCCGGTCTCTACGTGCATTTGGCATCTGTCCGTCATCTTCACCATCTTCGTGCTTCAGTGCATTCTGGGTAAAAGGAAGTCACAGTCAGCTCTAGACCACATTCACTATTTCAGTGAGTAACATACATCTTCATATGCAGAGGAACGCACAACTTTGGGGCAACATTTCTGCTGTCAAATCCCAAATCAGAGTGAAGACAATAGAATTATTTTATAAATAGAACTAAACACAGTGATGTGCAAATCACAATATAAAGCAGACCAGCATCTAGGTAGATTGCCACCATTAATGCAAAAAGACACCAGTTTTTAAACTTTCTATATTTACTTGAGATTAACTCAGGGATGTGATCTGACTTGTGCTTGGTTTTACAGCTCCACTATTAGTGGCCATGCCTTCAGCAGCTTAGGCCCTAAACCCTGCCAATCCTTTTTTAAACCTCTCCAACTTGAGCAAACCTTGAGCAAACATTTAGTCAGCTGGCTTTGCATAATCTTCCATGGACTGGCGTACAGTTTTATTTGTCCCTTGAGACAGCTTTTTGCATCAAAGATACAATATAAATGTAATTTGTCATCATAGATACAGAAACAATTTTTTTTAAAATGGTCCAGCAACTGTCGAGTTTACTCAATATAAAATGTCTCTGACCCTCAAAAATGGTTGCCCTCTGGATGGAAGTGAAGGGGAACATTGCTCAATCCTTTGCATACAGGAGTTAGGAAGACACGTTGAGGTTGTAATGGACATCGGTGAGGTCTCTTCTGGAGTACTGTGTCCAGTTCTGGTCGCCCAGTTATACGAAGGATACTATCAAGCTGTAAAGGGCTAAGAAGAGATTTACCAGGATGTTGCTGGGCATAGGTGGTTTGAGTCATAAAGAAAGGCTGAATAGGCCGGAACCTTTTTCACTGGAGCATAGGAGGTTGAGAGGGGACCTTATAGAGGTTTATAAAATCATGAAAGGTATAGATAGGGTTAATGGTAGGTGTCTTTTCCCTAGGATGGGGGAATTTCAAGACCAAGGGTGCACATTTTTAAGGTGAGAGACGACAGATTTTTAAAAGGCATGAGGGGCAAATCTTTTACACAAAGGGTGCTTTCCTGAGGAAGTAGTGGATGTGGGCATAATTACAATGTTTAAAAGACACTTGGGTAAGGACATGAATAGGAAAGGTTTGGAGGGATATAGGCCAGGAGCAGGGAGGTGGGACTAGTTTAGCTTCGGATTATGTTCAGTGTGGACTGGTTGGACCGAAGGGTCTGTTTACGTGTTGTATGACTCTAAGACTGTGTGCAGACTAAAGCTCTGCCAGTAAAGTTGAAAGGTCAATTTTAACTACACATTTTTATGTTTCTGAAATCAGAAACCTTTTTCAGATTGAGCCAGGGACTCTCCATTCTTTTTACTGGACATTTTGCCAGGTTTCCTCTTCAGTAGGTTGTTTTGTCCCTTACGTGCAGTGAGTCTACATACAAGAGTGGACAGGAACTTTTTAGCAAGTCTGCTCATAAAGGCAACAACAAAAGGGGTGGACAGAAGGGGGAAACAGCTATTCTGGAGGACAAAGGGAGAACAAGAAAAAAGCAACAAAGCAAAGCAATAAATAAATATTCCATACCTAAACCAGACATTTTCCCTAACATCCCAAGACAATTCAGCAACTTTTCATATTTATTTTTGTAATTGTGTGTGTATAAATATGGAGGAACAAAAATTTCAAGACATGTTTTTTAAAAAATGATCATTTCTATGAGAATTCTGATCATGATCTGGAACAGTAACGAAACGCCAATAATAAAGGTTATGGATAAACTCAGCATTATCCAATACTTTTGAAATGGACTTTTAACCAAAAAAAAACTGAGATCATTCTAGAGAACTCTAAAAATAGCTCAGTTATGCCATATAAGGAATCAGAGATCCAAGTCTTGCTACATAGTTAATCTGTCCACAGGCAAAGCTTCAAAGGCATATCACGTTACACAGGACAACAGGTTTTCCTATTTCTGCAAGTGCCATCTGATTTTGCATGTACGATCCGACTTAACTGTGGGTTTTTACTCCTGGATTTCACACAACATTCAGCAGTGGAAACATAAAAATATTTTTACACATATTTAGTGGAACAAGGGGAAAAGTACTGAAAACCCAAGGAGTGTTCAGCACTGAGCTAATTATGGAAAAACACACGGATTTATTGAGCTCTACGGGGCAAGAGCAAAGAACTATGAAAGGAATGAAGTTTTGGTGTTTGCATTTCAAAGAAAATGAACTGTTTCCTACAGTTCATAATGGCAAACTGCTTCATCCTTTTAAATACCATCCATTCCAATTAAAGACTGCATGAAATCATTTGTTTGTTTCATTTATTACCAACTTTCTAGTCACAACAGTCAGACTGATTCTGCTGGATTTTAGTATGGGCTCTGGGCCTCAGGCATTGGGACCGAATGGGGATCCTAAGCCTGTTGCTGCTCACAGCGAGATGGGCTCAGCAATATTCCCAGAGGCAGGCGATTTTTGAAGTTGCTGCCCAGAGGCTTCACAGCATTGGAGGCCTACAGGGAGAGGTGAGCACTGCTGGAGCAGGCAAGAGACTTCAAAGGAACCTCACAATAAAGGCACTCTCTCAGGATAAAATTAAATAGAATAATCCAGGAATCCTGGATGACAGGTCCATCGGATTGGAAGGAAAGCCCTCTAGATAGTGCACTGGGTCTGGCCAGGACCACTTTGTTTTGGAATGGAGCGCCCCGGCCCTAATTGCCCCTATACCTGCCTCCATGAGGTTGGTACTATCTTCATTTGGTGCTGAATATATACTCACCGGCAAAGTGCCAGTGAGCTAGTAATGCCACCCTTCATATGGGCCTCAATTACATCATTGTCTATCTGCCTCTGTAGTGCATGGGACATTACTGAGGACACACCTAGTGTAAAATGGACAGTTTTGTTCTCTGTATTTAAGGAGGCGATGGAAGCAAATCAAACAAGGGCCACTAGGCTGGTTCTTGGGACAAATGGATTATTTTATGAGGAAAATCAGGCCTGATCATTGGCATTTAAAAGAGTGAGAATTGTTTTTATTGAAACGAAATAAGATCCTGAGGGGACTGTACAGGGTCGATGTTGGGAGGATGTTACACTTTGTAGTTGAATTGGGAACTAGGGAGTCTCCTACTTATCACAAGGAGGACTTTCTTCTCTCAGAGGGACTAGTAGTCTTTGAAATTCTCTTTGTCATACAGGAGGGGAGTTTGAGTCATTGATTGTTTCCAACGCTGAATTTTGACCGACAAGTGAATCAGTGGTTATGGAGTGGGGGAGGGGGTAGGAAAGTGGTGGTTAGGGTCACAGTCTGACCAGCCACAATCTCAGTGAATGGTGGAGCAGGCCCAAGGGGGGAAACGGGTAATTCCCGCTCATATTTCTCATGACCTTATCTTCCAGCGTCTCCCTGGGGAATGTTCCGAGCAGCGGGATTGCCCAAAGAAGTCATCCTGATGCAGCTCCCTGCTATTTTCCCACCTCAGCCTCCATTCTCATCCCCCCAGGGAGGCTGCGAAACTTCTGCCCAATCACCTTGCTGTAGTATCTGCTCAATTCTGGCCACCACCGTAAGATGAAACAAGTTTTGATGAGGGCCAACGTGACCTGGTTTAATCTCCCCAAAGCTACAGTGCCAGAGACTGAGGATTTCTGCTGCATTAGGAGTAATATCATTTATAACAAAGGCAGATTTTGGAGCAACCCTTTCAAAATTGAGGACAAAGGACCTACTCAGTTAACAACAGTAACAAACTTCACATACTTGAATACAAAGAACGTGCTGACTTTTGTTTCTGATATGAGAGGAGTCGGTGACAGTGATATTTCCTCCTTTTGCAATTTAAGGACTTTTCAGATGTTCAGCTTTCACTCAGTAACCAACATTTTACTTCCATTATGGTCGGGGATCTAGAATTCAGCTTCCAAACAGCAAATGGTGTAAACACATTGAGAGGTGTGCGGTTTATTTAGGTTTGGAAAATGACCCATACAGAAGAAGTGCAAAGAGCATTGAGAGGGGGAAATGGAGTCAATAGACAGTAGCAAACTGAGTGTGGAGTACTGTATGATTAAATAAGCGCAGGAAGAGAGACTCCAAATGCTGAACAAGACTGCATGAAAACCAGGGGAAAGGTCTCATGAGAGAGCCCCAGCAACTGATTGAGCTAATTTTCAGACTGTATTGATACATAGAGAATGCAGCAGCTCCACGTTCCATCAAGAGAGCACAGCAGATCAATAGACCTATTGCAGGTTAATTTGTTACAATCAGAAGGGACCGTATCTTTACTGTAAGGTACATGGACGGAGTCATATGATCTGTTCAGCTATCTGCCTGTGATAAGCCTGGGTGATTTGATCATTAGAGATTTCAGAGGTGTAGTTGGGGGGAGCTGGATTGTTTTATTTGGAAAAAGGTGCAATATATTTACACTCAAGAGAAAATGGCAGCAGTCTGTGTGCTAATAGTGAACAGACTGAATCTCCAAAACCCCACAAAGATGTTGAGGGAGTCCGCTTGTGAACAGTTGTGTTTTAAATTGTCCAAGAGTTTAAAAAAAGAGCAAGATGGCTAATCAATAACAATTTCTCCATTTATAAAACTAAAAGGTACAGTCATCATAGTCCCACACTCTCACTAGCCCTCAGCCAAGGGGAAGAAGTTGAGAAGATCAGTCCTTCATGGTAACCCACACTGTTGGTGTCACTCTGCATTGCAGACCAATCGTTCAGCTAACTGAGCTAACTGGCCCCAATACACATTGCCATGCTCTTGAGCTTTGAGCTGGGAAAGGTACAAAGGAATTCATTGCATTACTGGATTGTAAGCTTTCCTAAACCAATACAACATCACAAGCATGTTCAATCGGCAGGTTTCTGGGATAGAAAGAACAGCTACTATGGCTCACCATGCAGGGATGTGGGTGGCAGCTCACATTCCAAATAGGAAGACAAAATAACTGGTGAGTTAACACAAGCCTGGAAGATTTGTCTAGCCTTAGCTGAATGG